GCCAGGGAGGGCAGACCATTTTTATCTAGGCTTTCTCCTCCAGGACACTAACCCGGTTACCACGGCTGCAGTGGAAAAGTTCTGTGCTGCTGCAATTTCCATAAGAAAAAAATCGGTTACAGAAGTATAGTTGTCATCTTGCACCAATTATCTGGACATATCTCTAACAATTTCTGGACCATTGTATTTACTCCCATACTTATCGGCTTTTTCCCCATGTAAACTAGGGAGCGACCCGAACAATTTGAGAACATGTATGTTATTATCCACTTTTAACGTCAATACTTTTTAATTATATTTTAATATCAGTACTTTTTAATATATTGTAAAAAGTAATGTGTATTGCTGGTCTTTGACCGTAATAAAGATTTATATTTATACTATACCTGTAGTAGGGCTTACATTTTTATATGCAAAATGTTTGGGTCTTGCTCGTTACGCTCATTACATTTGAATACTTTCTTTTGTAGGTAGCAATTAATCTAATTAATCTATTAATATTGCTTCCAATTAGAGAAAAAACAAGATCTAGTGTGTTATCAGCACTTCAGAGAAAACAATGAAGTTGGATCCTGATCAAATTATTCTCTAGATATTCCTACAATGCCCATATTGATTCTAGGATACCTGCCACATACTGATTCACTATCATGAACTGGTCATTGGACACTTGTGCAAACATTATTGATTTTATTCATAAAGACAATACAACTGGCTGTAGCTTGAAATAGATCAGAAAAATGCTACAAAGCCAATTGAATAGGTTATGCATATTCCATGGCAGGAAATGATCTACTGGTAATCACATCCCAAGACTCAAAAGTACAAATTTGGTATAATAAAAAATATTACCCAGGAAGCAAACTGCAGACACTATATACCCTAAAGTTTAATTCCTTATATATTAAACGTATCTCCAAACAGGGGCATACAAGAAGATTACCTATGCTATCAGTATCCTGTATGTAGTCAGAGATGAGTCACTAAAAATTAAGACATGGTTAGATGTATGCTGCTTTTACTATTCTGACTTGAATAAATACAAAAGGAGCAAGTTTTTCAAAGCAAGTTCTAAACACATACCAATCCAAGTCTCAACCAAAATGGGAGTGCATCAGAACTCAGTGTGGTACATGACTTCTCATCGTAGACAATGGATTTATTATTATTCTATTGGTTTCCTTTTCAACCCATGTTTTTCCTCATACCCCAAATGTGACCACTTACCTCTTTGTCAAAGTTTGCTTTGGTAAATTCCAAAGAGTTCAAGAGTGCATTTGTAGCCGCTAATTTCACATTATTACTTGGCTCTTCTTTCCTCATGCCCTGGATAATGGCAGTCAAAATTTCATTTGATTTATCCTGAAGCTGTTCTGGGTCCTGAAAAAAGAAAGAATACTGTAAACTATGCCTATATTCCTATGAAATGCCCAATCAGCTAAAATGATAAAATAGTATGTTGTTTAAATTGAGAAGCCCAGGTATTTCCAAGTTAGAATGGAGGGTGTTAATCACTACACTTTGTATTAGTCACTGAGTACTTTAGTTTCTGCATCTTATTTGGGCACAGAAAGATGAATTCTAGGGCTAACTTGAATTGAGTCCTCTGACCCAGCCTCCAGCAAAGAGGCAGCCTACCAAAGTTCTAGAGAGAGAATATTTAAACCTGTCCCATAGGTAGCTGCACAATTAGTGAAATTAATTTTCATGTCACAAACAGAATACAAAGAAATTATAGAAAAATTGGACAACAAAACTGTTGGTGCCTTATTTATCTTGTTTTGCATGTTTTGTCCATAAAGTTGCAAGACTTAATAATCTGCTTTGCTCCCGCAAACAATAGTAGGTAGTAATTACACGCAGTTATACTCCGAGAACAAATATTAGGATTTTCAGTTGCTTGAAATGTGAAGCCTCTAATGCACAATTTGGAATCAGCTACAATCATGTAAGAGAAATTTAGAACATATTCAGAGACAGTATTATTGTGCACTACTCCTTTACTCAGTTAACAAAACATGGGAATGAGCTTTTGATTAAAATTAAGCCAGAGAGTGTAGGAGATTAATAATAAGCACAAGATGAAGAAATACCATAATTTGAATAGAATGTTAAAGGCAAAACTTACAATATCCTGACAAATATAGCCAATGGCTTCCAATGTCGATTCTTTCATATGCTCTGTGCTGTGTTGATTTGTAACATTGGCTACTAGCTGAGGAATAAGTTCAGGCCACTGATTCATGGGGATCTCTGCACAGGCGATGCCAGCAACACACTGTGATGCTGAGCTGGGCCTGTACGTTTCTGTACCCAAGGTTTGCAAAACCTGTAAAGATAAGAAGATCATCTTATCAGTAGGCAAGATCACAAAATTGCAATACCGTTAGCACTAAGCAATGGACTGTTGTGTCTTCTTGTACGATTTTTGAGGCTGAACAAAAACATAATAGTGAACTGTATTACTCCTAAAATAAGGCATACCTCCCAGTGATGGGTTCTGGTATGGTTGGAACGGGCCCGGTTTTGTCCACATGGATGCGCACAGCGCATGCAAGTGTCTTACCGCCTGCACGACGCTCCAGGTGCTCAGCGGAGCATCATGCAAACTCTGTACGTGCCATGTGCGTGCGTGGAAGCACCAAAGACTTAAAAGACTGGTAAGGAGCTCGGGCGGGCCCTCCGGAGCACCGTACCAGAACGGTATCCAGTGCTCCAGGCAAGCTCCGGTACGCCCGTTACTGGGGCGTACCGCCTGCAACCCACCACTGATACCTCCCATCCTTTAGAGGTTGTAAGAGATACTTTTCTCAGCTTGGGAACAAACAGGAAGAGAAAAGTAAATTGAAGAAACAGTATTCAAATAAAGATATCCAGTAGATGCATTTACTACTGAAAAACACCCATACTGATAAGTAAGCAGGACTAGGAAGTAAAACTAGAAATACTAAGTTTTAACATACATAATTTTTTACTTCTCTGCGAGCATTGGCATCAATTGCAAGCCACCTCTGTTGGTGTTGGGTCTTTACATCAGGATCTTTAGATGTCAGAGAGTTTTTGATCTGCAAACCAGCTGCAACTCTTGCAACTTGGCTGTTTCCTGGGTTTGCCAGCACTCTGGACAGTTCTACAAGGAAAGTAGGCTGGTAAAGAAAGAAATGTCAGTAACCAAAACTCATATATTTCTCTTTTCAGTCAATGCAGAAATATACATCTATGATTATTTAGCTCAAAAATATTTTTCAGTTCTGATCCAGGCAACACATACCTCATCCACACATACCACCAGGTAACACTAAATTCCTTATCTTTATATACTACTTTCAGGTCTCTATTATAGTACTGTCTTCTTCATATATTTCATTTGTATAGCACTATATCTCATTTTAAATTGAATGGAAGGTATTCTGTACTTGTTTTCAAATATTCAAACTTCAAAGCTAACACAGAACTCTAGGAGGTCGGAACAACTAAGTGTTTAACTGATGAATAGCAACCACAAACACAGCCAACTTGACTTCTTTAAATTCAATTCTCAATATGTGTGTGTGTGTTTGTTTGTTTATTGGATTTATATGCCACCCTTCTCCCAAAAGACTCAGGGCGGCGTACAACATTGAAAAAAACCCACATATTACAAAAGTTAAAAAGGAAATTAGATAGGAGTATCCAAAAACAAACCCAATTAATATTAACAATAACATTTTAAAAATTAGATTAAAATTAACAATTAATTTTGTTTGTGTGCGTAATATCCATCAATTGTACTTTGAAACATAGAAAACAGACGGCGGAAAAAGACCTAGTGGTCCACCAAGTCTGCCCTGAGTTTTTTTTTCTTTTTGATTTATTTATTCATTAATTTTAGTTTTTGTCGGATGATGGACATGTGTTTATCCCAAACATGTTTAAACTTAGTTACTGATGACTGACCCACTACCTCTGCTGGAAGTTGGTTCCACATTTCTACTACTTTCTGTGAAGTAATACTTTCTAACATTATTTTTTAAATTCCCTCCTGTCAGTTTGAGGTTATGCCCATGTTCTGGATTTTTGCTTAATTTTGAAAAGACTGACATCTAAAACCTTATTCACATCCTTAACATATTTAAAGGTTTCAGTCCTGTCCCCCTCTTCCCTTCTGTCCTCCAGGATGTACATATTCAGTTCCTCCAATCTCTGTGCCATGGCCCCAATCAGAACCTGGTTTGAGGGAGGAGGAGTTGGAACTGGGACTGTCTGACAGGGAAGGCACGTCTCCCTTGGGAGGTTTGGAGATACTAGGGGCTGAGGATGATGCTGTCCTGGGCAACTCAGGCATTGGGAGAGGTGGCCAACCAGACGGAGAGCTGCCTCCCTGCACAGACACAGGGGAGAAAAAGCTGCTGACCAGCAGTGGAACTGATAGGCAGCCAATCTCCTCTGATGAGGAACAGCTAGCTGCCTACTCCACTGATCCAAGGGCAATAAGAGTGGAGCATAGGCAAGCCCAGAAAAGGGATGAAAGGCTACTCAAGGCCTCCCTTGCCTTGACCACCTGGGTCATAACACTCTTCTGGTATGAACTGCAATGTCCACATTTCTGACCAATTTTCCAGCAATGCCAAATTGTCTTTCATGTTAATGAATGATCATCACTATATGGAAATATTGTGAAATATAAAGATTTTAATTAGCTATATCAAATTAGAAGGTATCACAGAAACTTTGGTTTTGGATATGTTGCCTTGCTGTATTGGTAGCATAGTTTATTATATACAAATGCAACACGAACAGAGAAAGAAAAATAAAAGACAAGTTACTAAAGAGGGACAAAAAATTACATTAGCCCATTAATATAGTGTACAGGAATTAATTTGAGCTGCACATGTTTCTGCCTCTTGGCTCTAGACCTCAAATCCAGTTGTTGCTTATTAACGCAGACCAGCAGCAGCACATTTATGAAGTTTTCGTATGAAGAATTTTAAATATTTGGTGGTTACTCCGCTGTTGTGACTCAGCAGACGTCTTCTGTGAGTCTTTTCAGGATGCAAGATTAACACTGCAGCTGGGGCTCGTGAGTGGTGTGTTCTGGGGATAAAAGGACGGATGGTGCCACGCCCTGGTTGCAGGAGTCAACGTTCCTTGGTTCGTTCAAGACTGATTGATCATCAGCAGTGGTTTATGTAAGATACACTTGGAAAAGTGCTTTGTTTCTGTAACCCTGATTCAAGGATACACTTGGAGAAGTGCATTGCATTGTAAGAGTTTTTGTTTGGTATTCTGTTATCTGGTCAGAGACTGTATTTATGTTATTTTTGGGCTCGCAGCCAGTTTGAGCCGAGAACTGATAAAGAGAGTTCCTTTTAAGTTTGTTTGCCTGTCGTCTGTTAACGAGCGGAGAAGGGGGGACAGAACACTCCGCTATGGGACAGCACGGTGGCTCAGCAGTTAAGACACTGGGTTTGTCAGCTGGAAAGCCGGCAGCCCAGGTTTGAGACCGGAGCACCATGCAACAGGGTGAGCTCCCATCCTCGCCCCAGCTCCTGCCAATCTAGCAGTTGGAAAGCATGAAATGTGAGTAGATAAAAAGATACTTCAGTGGGAAGGTAACAGCGCTCTGTGACATCATGCTGGCTACATAACCGTGTAAATATCTTCAGACAGCGCTGGCTCAATGGCCTTGAAACTGAGATGAGCACCTCCCCCTAAATTTGGTTACAGCTAGCCAAGTAAAATCCGCAGGGACTCCTTTACCTTACTCTGCTATTCCTTACAGAACCTGAATACAGATTTTCTTGTCTAGCAGCAAAATAGGACTATAGAATACCGTATTTTTCAGACTATAAGACACACCGGAGTATAAGATGCACCAAGATTTTGAAGAGGTAAAGTAAAAAAAAAACTTTTTGCATTTCTTCCAAAAAACAGGGCATGCATAGGCTTTGGGAGGCTTGTAGAGTGCTCCTGGGGGTTGGGGAGGGCAAAAATAGCAGTAGTAGACTTATATACCGCTTCATAGGCCTTTCAGGCCTCTCTAAGAGGTTTACAGAGAGTCAGCATATTGCCCCCAACAATCTGGGTCCTCATTTTACCCACCTCGGAAGGATGGAAGGTTGAGTCAACCTTAAGCCTGTCAGGGTCCAACCGCTGGCAGTTGGCAGAGTTAGCCTGCAATACTGCTTTCTAACCACTGCGCCACCACATGGTTTTTCGCTCATTTTTGCACTTCCCAGTCCCCAGGAGCCCTTTGCAGGCCTCCCAAAACCTCACCCATTTTTGAGAAAAACGGGATGCGCCAGGGTGGGTCTTTGGGAGGCCAAAAATGCTGTATTCATGGTATAGGACGCACCCAGATTTTCACCCTTTTTGGGGGGGGGGGGGGAAGGTGTGTCTTATACTCTGAAAAATACGGTATGTAACACTGATCTGAATGCTGGACAGAAGGAATAAGATACTTAAAACTTTGCTTTGCTTTAAAAGATGGTGGGGAAATCAAAGGACTAGACCTTACTAGTACTTCTTATGGCAGTTATTTTGACAAATGATGTGAAATAAGTTCTGTATGTGCAAAAATGACCTAATAAAGAAATTCAGTATGATTAGCAAATGACCTTTCAGTTATTGCAATGAACAAACTACACCACTTTTAGCTAGGACGACTCTTCCCCTGCGCACAGAGTGTACGGCGCCTGTGCAATGCTCCACCAAGCAGCTTGAGCGTCACAGGCGGTAAGTACGCATGTGTGTGCTGCGCACATGCATGTGGTAGACGCACAGCCCCGTTGCACCATACTGGTTGCAATGGGATCCGGAACCCACCACTGAACCGAATGTATCAACATGCATCCAGAACAGGGGTGGGCAATTAATTTTCCCAAAGGGGCACATGAGAAACTGGGACTGCAGTGGAGGGTGTCAGGGTAATGATGATTTAATAGCTGACCAGCTGCTGTAATACTATAACACTGTAAGGTTGATGCAATGGTAGCAATGAGTCAGCAGGGTTATTTGACTGCTACTGCTTTAAGAGGCTGTAATATGAGAGAGGCCCTGTGAGGGTGTCTCTCTCTCTCCATGTGTGCTTCCGTGCTATAGTTGATGATTGATTGCCTGACTTTGCCTTGTACATGTATGTATATATTCCTTGTAGATAAACCACTATTTGAAAGACAAACCTGTTTACTGTATTTTGCTCCTGGGTTTCTCAAAATAGTCACTGTGCACACTCTGACAGAGGGCCAAACCAATAGGGCTGTAAAGGTGCATAGGCACAGAAACAAATATGTAAATTGAAAAAAATAGTCACCTTCGTAATAAAAGCAATGCAGTGCATGATGTACACTTATTTACATTTGATTTCTAATTTCCAATTGACTTCACATGGGCTGGACAGGGACAGTCAAAGGGCTGGATGTTGCCAGGGGGCCATAAAATGCCAAGCTCTGGTCCTGAAGCAATTTGCTACAGTACAAAAAGCATTAGATAAGATTTAAAGCCCCTCTTTCCTGAGCTATGCTGGCCATCAAGTAAAGGTCTCCACCAATGGTTGCAGAAAGGGTAACGGTGTAAAAAGAAAATGTAGTGCTTTAATAAAACTTACTCAAAAAATTTAGCAACTTATCAAAATCAATTGAGAAATATAAAGTGTGGAAAAGAACGACATGGTTAAACAGTCACAAAGGCACAAACTATGATGCTTAAGCCATATCCATTACCTTTTGATGTAAGTAGACAATACAGCAAGATGTCAAATTTTCATTAAATTTGAAACACTACTGTGTGAAAGACAGATATATTTAATAAATAGATGGTTGTGAGGATTTTTCAAGCTCTTGACTGTCTAATAAAAATGTTTACTTTTTTGTAAAGCGGGCGTTCCATTGCCGTATCATAAACTACCCTTGGATGTTTCCTCAAATTCAATATATTGCTTTCTGGGAATGTTTAACCATTTCTTCAGCTTTTCCCAACACAGAACTCTTTTTCCCAGGGCTCATTCACAAACAATATACAGGTGAAACTCGAAAAATTAGAATATTGTGCAAAAGTTCATTTATTTCAGTAATGCAACTTAAAAGGTAAAACTAATATATGAGATAAGAGTCATCTCTGCTACCAGTGGTGGGTTGCTGCCAGTTCGGCCCGGTTCAGCTGAACCGG